CCACCATGACTCACACTTCTTTAAATTGCATCGCAAAATTGCAAGAATTGCGCTTCGAATTAATTTCGCATACACTGTATTCAGATTCAGCTACCAATAACTTTTCCTTTCTCTAAACATGAAGAAATGGTTCGTAGAAAAAAGATTTGACTCAAATACTTAAGTAGATAATCGCTGAAACTAACGCTTACTTAAGGCTTAGAGCTTAGAGAAATCATATTATATAGACGATATAAAAAAAGATTAGAATATTACTATGTATAAGAGTGTATTAAGTTGAAAAAAGACTATACTGAAAAACAAAAAAATTTTATCATACCAGGAATATTTCGAACTACCCTCGTATACCATACCTCTTGTAGCGGCAGATAAGTACAAAAAATTTGTAACGAGCGTATTGACCATGCACACACTCCTATAGTAGCAATGATTACACATAAGTTAAAATGCCTGTAATGATCTACATATGGAAAGAACGGTTTTGTTGAAGTATCTAAACATTTAGCTAGACACAAATCTGAAAATAATTTTCTTGATCATCAAAAGTTTATATATAATCAAAAATAAAACAAATAAAGGACTCTTTCTTTAAAAACATTATAAACATGGAAATGGCATTGTAAGAGTCAAACGAAAAGTAAATTAACAAACAATTAATACATATATTCTAAAATGAACTTATAAAATTTACATAAATGTAACGATTAAAAAACAGATGTTAATTACATTACTAGTTTCGACCACCAAATCTGGTCCTCTTCAGATGAAACACTTTAAAAAACACTTCGTTTGACTCTTACAATGCCATTTCCATGTTTATAATGTTTATGTAGAATACTTGGAGCTCTGATGACAATGCAGCAGAAAGTTTGAACATTTTAGCGTTCAATTTAATTATTTTGATGATCTAAACTCTAAATTATTTTCAAATCTGCACTAAGAAAAAAGTTATACAGTAATAAAAACGCTAAACATAACTTCATTCTAGAGAGTGAAATATCCTTATGTGCTATCCTTATGTAATTGTTTTGTTTCGGTAACAAAATTGCCTATTTTTAACTACACAGAAATTTTTCGCCGTCATACAAAACAGTTTTATCATTAATCATTTTAAATCAGTTTTGTAGTATATAATAAATTCAAACAAATTAATATCGGCATATAATTACCAACGGTTTCATTGATCACATGTCAGCAAATAGTTTTTGCGTCAGTAACACAAAACTTTCATACCAAACATTTCTCTTAATGTGTATGTATATAGTTAAATTTTTTTATAGATATACGTCAACATCAAAATCGTTCTTTCCATGCAGCTCTATGCAGACTGATACATCCACAGCATTTGTTATACTCGCAACTTTAATATCGTGCTGTAAAATCCGCTGGAGCGATTCCCACGGATGATCGGTGCATCCTGCAGAAAGCGAGAGATATTTAACGTGGGCGAAAGATAGGTCAGACCGTAAAAAGCCGCGATGCGCGCGGTTTATGCATGCATGTATAGGGACATACATACGCGATTCACAAGGCAAGTCGCTCCTCTGTCTCTCTCTTTCTCTCCTCCTCTAACATCGGCTGCTTCAAAAGGAGCAGCCAGGTGAAGTGTATCCCGCGTACTCGGCACGGCGCGGAGGCCACCTTCGTGCACGCACGAGTAGCTCAGGTGGCATCGATGGCGCTCGCAAAGCAGTTATTTTTAGTACAATTTAAACGCTCGAACGGCACCATAAAGCGAGAGAACGCCACGTATACGTTATAATATAATATAACTGACGGCCGCGATGGAGGTGGGAGAATGGAGAACGGGGTCTACAGGGGGGGGAGGTTTTCGCGCGAGCTCGCGGACAAGCGTCGCCGGGATCGTTAAAAGCATCGTTACCGCGCGGTGGGAACTTTCGCATCTCGACACGGCGAGAGGATATTTCTCTCAATGCCGCGTGCCCATGGATTTACTTGATAATTCTATGAAACGCAAATTCCCCGTCATCATATCGGGCATAAAGATGGCCGTTTATCGCCCCCGCTGCGGTCCCCCTACTCTTATCCCCCGAGGACCAAACGTCGCGCAGATTAACTCTTAACTGCTGACGTTGATAAACTCCCTCGGTCGTGTAACGTGTTAAAAGTTGGAAAAGCTGTTTCGCGCGAGCGTTCTTTCAAGGAAAGAGAAAAATTCTATCGAAATACTTTACCAAGTAAGGTATTCTATATTCGGCAGGATATCGTGAGCACCGTTACTGCTTCAGGTCGCGTTTATCGTCGAACCGACAATATTTCAATAGAACGGTTCTAGCCACATTTCGACATAAACCTTTGAATTTCAATATAATTCGTTAAATCATAAAATTAACAATAATTTTAATAAGAGACAGTTAAATTAATTGAATAAAATAAACGAATTAATAAAACTAATAATAATTATCAAATTTGTTTATTAATATTTAGTAACGCATAAAATGCGATTTTCCTCAATTGGACTTATCAACCACATATATGTGCTTATACCTCTTCTGAGAATAGCGGTAGTAACTATAATGTGAAAATAAAAACAGAGTATTTCGGTTATAAGACGAGCGTTATATATGATTCCATTTAGTAGATATTCTCTAAATTTTTCAGAGTGAAATCTCACTCAAAACGAATAAAAAGTCACTTCCATCGATAGTATAAGTACTGCCATTCAGAATAGAGTGATATTTCACTTTTTATAAGAGTGAATTTAACTCTGATCATAATAAATAATGCTTCATTCCATGATTTCATTCGTTGCAGTGAAACATCAATGAAGATGACTTTAAAATAAGATCAAAAGCTCTAACCTCCTAAAAATTCAAACTCAATATTATGAATATTTAATTCCAATCGTAGTGAATGTTTCATTTATTTATGATTTAGAGCAAAATATTATCAAGATAACTCTTCAATATAAAATTGAGTTAATTTTAATTAAACAAAAATAGTTAAACTTAGTATATATAGATTATTCTGTTGATATTTTTTTCTGAAAGAAGTGCTGTCGATATTTATATACGTACAATATCGACAAAACGCAATGTCGATACGATGATGAGACGATCAGTATGGTGATATAAAAAGATCAGGTGCATGATAGTGCATCACCAGGTGAACCAATTTCAAGGAAGCGCAATATCGTTTATTAAAATAATGTCATTTGTGATCAATCATTTGTGACCAATCAAATTGACTTCAAATTTTATTAACCAATATAAAAAATTTATCATTATAACATGTAATGTTACACCTGAGATCTGGTTTTTATACCTGCGTTAGAATTGCACTTTCTTTCCCGGTTTTTCGCCAAATATCAAACATATATCTGTTTCATTTGTAAAAGTATACGAGTTCAGCTACAGAAAACAGACCCCTTGTGATCTTATATTATAATCAGTATTACTCACTTATCAAACTTCTTCTTGCGTGGCGCATGTACCATTTCCAACAGTAGAGCATGTTGTTAGATTCATTCTTTAATTACGAATGAAAATATTCATGACAGAATCGAAAAATTCATTTCATACGAATGGAAAGTAAGTTCCAACTTCAGCGATCACTCCATGTACATTTTGTAATAGTAATAGTAAAAAAAAGCGTATATACGTTAATAAAACAAGAGATTAAATCTACCTAATTATTATTTCGTAATTATCCTGCACAAAATACTAAATTTTAATAAACGTTTGTTTAAATGGTTCTAAGTAAATATTTACTACATGTAAACATACATTTATTTAATACAAAAACTATTAATTTAATTTAACTATATATCATTTTTTTAAGTAAAGTTTTTATTTAATGTAAGTAAATGTTTACTCAGTACTGTTCAAAGAAATGCGTACATTAAAGATATAGTAAATTTTTTTTCAGTGTAGAAAAATTTCATTTAAGTATAATTTTTTAAAATTAATTTTCTATTTGTTACTCTTACGGGTCAGATTTTATCGAGCTAATAATTAGAAAAGCTACGTGTTATCCCGAAGAAGGAAAGACTATTTCTTCGTCGGGCGTTTTTAGCACGCGCGCGTCGTTCAGTCAGGTGCGGGCCTTTCACGTTACGCGGGCACGAATCAAAATCAATAAGCCGATTATTGGCCGCGCCGAGCGGAGATTACGCCGCTTTGAATTGACACCTCGGCGAGGCGGAGTGGGCCTCGGTGCCGCGATTCAATCCCGCGGGCTCCGGCCGACAGGCGGACATCCGTCCCAGTTCCTTTTTCCACGCGCGCGGTGAGGAGTCGGCGAACAACGGGGGCGCAAAATGGCGCTCGATGCGAAGCGCCGACACCACGCTATTCGCGCGTTACGACCGCGCGTGGCTTCTCGTACTCGCGAACAAACGAGCCCCCGCGACGCGCATTCAGCCGGCTGTGAAAGACGCGAACGGCTCATTTTCCGCGTAATTTCATTTCACGCGGCCGCGGCGTACGCGGTATTTTCCGTATACGCGGCAGAGAATTTATCAATAGCGCCTCCGGAGCGTCGCGGTGCCGCCGCCGCGCGGCGCCATCGTACGAGACGTTGCGATAAAACGAACCGTTGCAATAACGAGATGATTACTCAGAAATGGAGGAAGAAAAAAAGAAATGCTGGAACGTTATTCTGGTAACGATGTGATTCTCGTATATTGTATGTAAATGTATAATTACGAAGAAATATAAATTCCCCGGCTTATTTCGCATATCGTGCTAAATAATATTATATTGCAGATACATAATAATTGAAGAAATTGAAAGATAGAAAATAATTAAGAGAATTGTATTTCTTTAACATTTATTTAAGTGAATATCGCTGTAAATGGTTTTTCAGGTTTACCGACGTTTAAATTTCGCTGCGTGAATTTACAAAAACACACGGCGGACAAAAGAACACGATATTTGGTGTGCAGCGAAGCGGGGAAACGTCAAATAGGTTTTTCTAATCAAATTGCAATCGCTAACATTTCTAGCTGTCAAAATTTTCAGTTAACAGTATAAAGATCCTCGTAAATTCTTCGTTACACGAACCAAATGTTATTTTGCTTGCTAAAATCTTTACAGAAGATTTAATAATAAATTTAATAATAAATTCATTAGAAGATTTATTTAAAATTTTCAAGAAAATAAAAGGTAACGTGACGAATATGACAAAAATTCCAGGCTTAAAAATGGAAATGTTTTTTACAGTTACCTATATAAAGAATTGCGAATTATAGATAACGAAACATGGCAATCTAATGTTTGTATATACTTAACATTTATATTTTAAACTATTTTATTTTTATTTTATTTACATTTTAAATTGAAAATATATATTATCTCATGTTAAAATATACGAGCATATTTCGCCATTTCCATTTTCTACTACTATAGTTTAATAAAATGGGACAAACTGTGGGCAGAATGCCTGAAACGTGGGAAGGTCTTCTGGAAGAGAAAGATCGTGTTTTACATTGGAGTTCGGAAGTGTTGGCGAGAGTGCAAGATAATGTTACGAACGAGGATACTTTTTTGATAGATTATGATGACGACAAAGTTGACGCCAAGATCGACACGTGGATTAAAACTAATCGGACTCGGGTTAACGAAACACTTAATAAGTATCCAAACGCGTCGGATCAGCTAAAAAATGTAGTCAACTCTGGAATAGGAAAGGTGATTGATACATTTTATCTCTTTACAAGACGTCAATTAGCACTAAATTCTTCGCAAATTCGTAAAAGAGTTTATTAGACGTACATCGTGAAATCAAATCGTTTTCCGTGTAATGTTTAGCTTGTTGAAGAAATACGAGCGAAAACTAAGAAGGATTATCAAAATGCGTATAACGACATCAAGAAATTCAACAAAAAGGTAGACCAATTGGGTTCAGATGAACGAAAAATTCACGCTGAAATACAAAATCTGGAGGCGGAATGTGCGGGCAACACTCATCAATTCCGAAAGAAATTTGGGCCGTTGCGATTAAAAGTTTTTGATAATTTGAGAACCGGCGAGAAAATGATATTCCAAGATAAAAGACTAAAAAACGATTTTACGAAAAAAGTAAAGTTTCTCCTATACGTTCGTAAAACTGCAGCTTATATTCTGATAATTTAATTGCGCTTGCTCAGGTTTACGATATTGATCATAAATACTCTGCTGAATGCGTAAAACGGATCGATAAATTGCTTAAAGATTTCGAAAAAGATGCAGCAAAAGAAGGAACTACTGAATAAAATAACGCGGAAGAAAATGTTTTATCGTCAACTTAGTACACATGGTCGATAGCACGCTCATTAAAAATTTATTTAAAAATATGACAAATTTTCTTTTTGAAATATTGTTTGCGTTTAATTTTACTCGAAATTATTATATTACGTGAAAAAAGGAAAGTATATAGTCCCGTATTATCAATTTATATTAATCAAGTAATAAATATAGAAAGCTGGATGTACTCTTGAATGCTTTTGGTTGATTTCCTGTTCTGTATATAATCGGTTGCTTATGTCTCGAATGAGAAAGAGATAAGGAATCCTGGATAATCTTCCCGTCGTAATTAGTAGTGTAAATGAAGGAAAAAATGAAGAAATGGAAAGAATCGAAAGAACATCTTTGCCTGATGAACGTCTAGAACGAAGGGGAAGAATCTAGGTTGTATAGAATGTTCCGATATTACCGGATGCCTTTTTCAATAAGCTCTATAATTAATTTGGAGTTAATTTGTCTTCAGCAAAAACGCATAATCTTCGAATAATTATAAATAATATAATTTATAAATAATAATACAATTTTTCTTTTATAAATAATAACTCAATTTTTATAATTAGAATTAATTATTTTTAAAAAATCCCTTTAGATATAAGAAATAAGAGAGTCATAAGTTTGTCAATTTTATGCAAATTTAATAAAAAAATTAATAGAAAGCTTGTTATATAAATATATATTACAGTATTAAAAATGATACACTAAATAACAGTCTCAACGTATTGAAAGCAAATACCTAGAAAAATTAACAAGAACCTCTGATTCCAAGACTTTGTATAATCTAAAGATTTCTCCCTGCTTTGAGAATTGCGTCACAGATTCGAATTCTCTCAGGATACGATCGATAGATCCGGATTTGCAGTGTCATAGAATGACACTAGTAACCTTAATGATTCCTTCGGGACTCGCTATAATAGATCCTTTGTGATGCGTATCCTCGAGTCTCTCCAATCGCGATCCTAGAATACCACACTCCAGATGACGTGCGGCAACGAGAGAATAGAGAGAGAGAGAGAGAGAGAGAGAGAGAGAGAGAGAGAGAGAGAGAGAGAGAAAGAGAGAGAGGTATGAATATAAGACGACGCCAGACTCTGTATCGATTGGTTGGGATAGGCTCTCTTGGAGGCTCTCGTGATCAGGAGAGCATAAGTGAGCAAGTAGTTTGCAGTTCTGTGATGCCATGATACGATGATCCAGGAACGTACTACTTTAAACGATTTCTACAAGCATCGTGAATACAATTTAATTATAAGGCTTTATATATACGATTTCCTAAATTTTCCTAAATTTGTATAATACAATATTTATGTAAACGATATATACCATAATATTTTTTAAGATAAAAGTCTGAATCAATTAAATTGATCGAATTTTTGTAATAAAAACAACCTCACACAAGTGTCGATGTCAGATTTTCTGATTCAAATCAACTATGTCGATATTCTTATTGACTCTTGTGTGATTTCTTATCGACTTAACCATCTGTCAACCATATCGACATTGAATCAACGTTACCTTTCAAACTTACTTATACAGCGTCGATAGAGTTAATATCAGAATAGTTAAACCACTTTTCGGACTCCGAGATCATTTCATTTGTGTGTGTGAACTATGAAATAATTATAATATTATCGAAAGATTCAAAATATCATGTCGATTAACGGAATCTATCTGCTCTGATAAATATTTTTAAGATTTGATACTCTTAACATAGCACATTATGTTTCAATATATTGGAGTAATGAAATTTGTATTATTTGTAGCGCGCTCAAATTATGTATATAGTTAATGCATTTTTCAGACATAATAACTTTTAGCCAAATATAGATGAGACGAATCTATTTTAACGAGATTTTCAAAATTTTATACTTTCTATATATGTAACTCGTATTAAAGCAACAGAACTCACGACGTTCAAATTATGCATGCTTTGATGCACTATGCAATTCTGACCCTGTTTGAAAGCTGTAATGTAATTTATGTAATATAATTTACACTGATAATTAAATTTGTATATCAAATGCATTATATATTATATGTACATAAAAATAACAATAATTACAAAATAAAAATTACATTAAATTAAAATTTCAATAATTGAGTTAAAACGATCCAATGTTTGTAAAATGAGATATTTTAGCTGTTACGTTAAAGTCATTTATAATTTAAAAGTAACGAGCTATTATGGTTGTCACGGAATATTAATTACGTATGTGTAAGATTAGTAAGAGATTATTTTGGAAATACTAACCGTCTAATCAGATCGCTTCATGTCTGAGCGAGATTAGTGCATGTATTTATTTATTCATTTGGAGTCAAAATGTAAAGTTATATCAATTATAAAATTATAATGACTCGAGATGAGAGCAATTTAGATATTCATGAAAGTGTATATTCATTATTATATATATTGTTGGTATTCATATAAAAATGTATGCAATAAAAAAAAAGTATATTTCACTGCACCATCAAATTGAAATGCTCAAAGTTTAAATCGAAATTTTTGCCGTTTACTAACTTTGTTCATTGTTTACTAACTTTTTAACACTAATTTTTTAACAGTAACTTTTTAAGAATTCAAATATTTACGATTTTTAACTTTGGCTATTTGTAAAATATTGTCGATTAGATAATTTTTTATGTCGGTAATTACATAATGGCAATAATTATCACTACTCGGTAAAAATACTAGCAAATTTATCAATCGTCGATAATTGTTAAACAAAAATTTTTATTTCAATTTAAAATTATTTTAAAAACTAATAAAGTATCACAAAAATTGATATTAATTAAGAGTAAACGTCATGATTCTGAAAGTTATTTTAATTTTGCAATCATATAAATTTTTATTTACTTTTACATTTTTGAGAATTCAAATAGCAAAAATTAAAAATCAGAAACTGTAATAAAGAATAAAAAAAAAATAATACATATAAAAGATAACGCTGTTAAATTATAAAGTTTAGCTATTAATGATCTGTAACTGTATCTTTCAAAATCGCATACTATAAGAATACAGGACTCGCGACAATCCCTTATACGAAAAAGAGAGATGAAGAAAAACTTATTACTATTATTTAAAAATTTATGAGATGTGAAACAAAATTTTCTCGATAAAATACCTAATCGAATCGATATTCGAGATGGATATCACGATAAAGTATTGTCCCATTTCGCTTCGTGATTGTAATATGCACGGAAAAAGCAGTTACACGAACAATGATTTCCGATAAATTTTCTAACAAAATGTCCAATGGAATTTCAAATGAAATTTCCAATAAATTCTATTACATGTGCGGTTTCAACTGACCTTATTATCTGTGTTACTCGATTATCCGAGAAAGAGATTAATGTAATATGTTTTACAATTACGTCAGCATATTTGAAAATGTGAGACACAGAGTATTAATATCTTATAGTAAATAAATATATAAGTATGTCATGAGACACTTTTAATGTTAAAAACACAACTCGTTTACATGACCTTCAGTAGCCGTGATCGTCTAGTGGTTAGGACCCTACGTTGTGGCCGTAGTAACCCAGGTTCGAATCCTGGTCACGGCAATGCGTGAAAGCATTGTCACGGTGAAGGTTTTTTTTTTCTTCATTTTACATTAATTTAAAAAATAATTTGAAAGCACCGTCACACGATAAAATTTTTCTTTTTCGTCTTTTCAAATAAATTATTAACTACACAAAATTGTACGAATTCAATATCACAATGATTTATTGACGCTAAAAATATTTTGTAATTGTAATAATTACGTAAACCTTCTAAGTCGTCGATTATCAATTTGCATAAAAATTCTATGGATTATCTCTTGTTTCTATATATAATTTTATTCCACGCACAATTTACATTAAATATATATTAATTAAAAGCTAATTTAAAAGCATTGTCATAATAACACTTTTTTCCTTTGTCTTTTTAAATAATTAACTATGTAAAATTGTGTGAAATTTTATTTTGCTCTAAAAACATTTTGTAATTAATTATATAAATTTTTCTAAATCATTATTAATTTGCATAAAATTCTACCAAAATTGTGCCATATGTACATTGTACAGTTCCTCGTTATAAGAATGATATTTGTAAAACTATAATGGAAACTCTGACGTGCAGCAAAATCAAATGCATTATCGCAATCGTTCTCTGAATACCTTTGCCGAAAATACCAACAGATTGTGACATTTGATATATTCGCTGGTATAACGTCATGCAACTGAATGCACTCGGTAAATTAAAATGCAAAATTGCATTATTAAAGATGTCAGAAAAGCAATTTGAGGAATCACCATATACTCGTGACGAATTGTGCAAACGTAAACTGTTATAAATCAAAGTACAATTGCTATTATACCAGTGTAGTGCAGAATCGCGTACGACTTGTATCCGACTTAAAATTTTTAATAGAACGTTATTGATCGACCGATATGATCATCCGACTTCGATTTTTGTTATTTATTCATATTCTATGGCTTCTATGTTATGCTGGTTCGTATGAAAAAAAAGCTTCGAATATTATATTATTCAATTACATTTTAATAATAATTAATTTTAACGTGATTATACTGACAATTAATTTTTTTGATAATGCAAAAAATTGGTAATAAACAAAATATAGATTTGTTATACAAAATTAATTATTTAAATAGATAAACATAAAATTTTCTTTTCACTTTATATATAATTCAAAAAATTTTTTATATCAAAGATCTTCTCAAAATAAAACAAAAAATATATTATTAGAAGTAATTTCAAATTTGCAGTGTGTGTAATTAAAATTTTCTCTCTTAATGTTACGTATTTTAATAGATTTGCGGATACATCTGTCATTATTGATAATTTTTATATATCGTTAGTAATCAATAAACTTTCATGATAATCAGTAATGAGTGCTTGCAGCAATTCATGGCAATTTAATAGACGTAAACGACGCCGAAACTTGCAATTTGCTATGCATAAAATGTAACGCTTCCGCAGTATTTGCAAACGGTCACTGTGAATGCAATTTTGTTGAGGACAGTAACAAAGGTATTGACATACATTTACAAATTTATCTTCGTTTAAATAAATTGCTGAAATAGTTGTCTAAAAAGTAATCTCATATTTCACGTTTTAACTCAACAATGCCATACAGGTGCAGAATGCATACAGAACATACAAAGAGAAATTCAAGCTGTCGAACTGAATATGCTTTCTGATGATCTAACAGACGAGGAGCGAAAAGTACGTTCTGTTTTAAAATACAGACGTCGTCTTAGACCAGGTAAAATAAAATTATATACTATAATTATACAAAACACACTTTATTGATTTAAACGTTTCAAAAAGACATACCTTAAAAAATGCCTCATTCCGTATTTCTATTTCAAAAACTTCATTATCATGGAACATTACAAAATTTTTCCTGCAAAAATAGTTTCACACAGTTTTACAGTTAATTATTGACATAAAGGTAACATTATTCATAAAGGACGGATTAGTATTCAAATCCAAGGATTCTGAAACTGCAAAGGACATTTTTTAAACACCTAAAAATCGCGTGTGAATTAAGGTATCTTTTAGGCGGCTAATGCCGAGAAATAAAGACTATCGAATTGCCTTGTAGGAGATGCCGAGAAAGTGGCACAGTATTTTATCAATGGAGGACCAGCAGCTGGTCACTCTCATTTTGTCAGGGTGTTCAATGCGACTCGCGATAGCGCCGATTCTGCGACAAATTCGTTTTCGGGCGTGGTTGACAAAAGTAACCCCGAAGACGGATTTCATGGTGTATCGTTAACCAGTCCCGTTTTTTGGAATACACACGACTCTCCGTTGTATATGGTATCAGAATCCGCATCGTACGTGAATCCAATGCAGGGAGTAGATCCTTCGATCTTAGGAGCGATGAAACCACCCTTTATCTATCCACCAACTGGAATATACGATCCAACGTATCCGGTGAGCTCAATTTCTCATCCACATGGACTGCCTCACGCTTTATTTAGAGCGGTCACATTTCCTGCACATCTTTTGCACCAAATGTTACACCCTCATATATACCATCATTATCCTCTGCAGCATCATGGTATCATCAGAAGAACTAATGTAAGTGGCGTTTAATTACATAATTTGCAGTCAGTATAATGAAAAACTCGATAATTACGTTTTGTTTAATCTAAATAAACGTTTCATACGAACGTCCATATGTCTCGTCTTTCAGATAAAGTTATACCAGTCTAAAAAAGTTAATTCGATGCTCTTAATAAATATACATTATGATAGCAAAAATTTTTTAAATATATATTATATATATATATCAATGCTACAATTAAATCTTTTCCTATTAATTCCCACAGGACAACTCGAAAACAGATCAGACTGCTGGTGAATCATGTGAAAATAATGATGGTTCTAATACTTCCAACGTTCCTACTACCAAAAGTAATACAGTAAGTTTCGCAATAATATAAATATATTTAATTCACGAATTTTATTTAATAGCAAATTCTTGCATAGATTGGTAACTCTTTCTTAGTAAATAATAAAGTAATGAAGAATTGTGTCAAATTAAGAATTCAAATTAAGAAGAAATTGCAATATTCTCTATATTAATAAATAAGAGTTATGACATTCTATATATTGATACAAATGTTTATTGAAATTGTTAAATGCAATTATATATAGCCAATTAAGCATTAAACTAACTTTTGTAATAAAAGAAAAATGATAAATATAAAAATCTGTTTCTTCCAGGATAAACCTATTGAACAAAATGTTCTCGGACTACATGATCCATCACAGCATCGAAGAGCATACATCACCGATACATTGTACCAACCAATTCAATATCAGAATTTCCCATATCCATATGCTTCTTATAATCCTTTGATGAACATACTCCATTCTATACCTAATGATTATTATCTTCAACCTATACCACAGTATTCGCAAGATATATCATTGGATCCACAAACATCTGCGTCTAATCCACAATCTGTTTGCAAAAATAACAAAAATACTGGACAGAAGAATGAAGCTTTTTCTGACAAAACTACATATTCAACTGGAGTAGAAAAATCTGACGATTCAATTAAAAACAACATTTCTAACGAAGAAAAAAAAACCGAGAAGATCGAAAACAATCAATCATAAATATAGATAAATTAAACGCAGTGTATATATCTAATCTATTCAAAACATAAATTTAAATTTCTTGTTATTGTCATATTTGTACTACAGCAAATAATAGTAATGTAATTATTAAATTTGCTTTTTAATAAAATAAATTTTTAACATTAATTTATTTATTAACTTATTTTAATCATTCTATTCTAAACTAAGGCATATACATGCAATGCAGCCATTGTGTTATCTTATGCTATTTTCAGTTTCAATTCAAATTTAACAGATTTAATGATAGAACTTAGTAAAAGACTATCTTTATTCAAATTTTAAACTAGAAATATAAAAAGTTCTGTATATAGTATATATATATATATAATTATATTTTAATTATCTGAACATGACATAATTACAGATCGATCCTACAACTCTCATCATGTATATATTCTTTAGTTTTAACAAGTATAATTAGAAAACTTTTAACGAATAAAGAAGTTTATAATAAAATTTACGACGTAATTGTAACCATTTTGGAAATTTATATTTCATTTATTTTTTGTAATGTAATGTACTATTTTTTGTAAAGTATTATTTTAATCTTATATATGATGTGATAAAGTAGAATCTAAGAATGAGCATATTATAACAAATATTTTACATAATACAAAATATATAAATATAAATAAAAATTCACTTTTAATAGTTCCATCCCTTCATCTTTATCTCCTTCCTTTGCCTTTCCCTTTCTTTGAAGTCGACGTAGATGGTTGCGATGCTTGCTCGTTAGAGCTCTGCTTACCCTGACGAGTCTTCAATTTGGGAATTGAGGTACCGACGTACTCCAGCAAAGAATCTCTGGTGGGAAATTCGGATCGTACCGGTGTCCCGTCATCGTTTTTCAGCTGCACGCGAATACGACCACAGAACAGGAGTTCCTTGCTACGTTCTTTTGGATGTAGCTTATTTTCGACACCTACATTCATACCCGCAGCCAACAAAACATCTCGTATTTCCTGATAGGTTGGATTTTCCACACACTTATCCTTGGCCAGCTTTCGTCCACCTGCCAAGCTTCTCTTGCTGTTCAAATATATCGGATAAATAGATATCCATCTAAAACAAAAACAACATGTCAAATAATAAATAATGAAAAATTTTAACTTGTGATTCTAAAGGCTTAAGTAAAATATGTTACATATTACTTTAAAAATAAAGTATTTATTTCAAGTATTTTCCAAGATAAATCTTGTCGGTTCTTTATACCTATACGAATTTAATCTATAAATTCAACTTTGATGTTAGATATCACAGACGTATTCGAATTTGTTTTGGAGTAAAAGGAATTGAAGTGCTTTATAGATGTACGTATTCAATGAACTTTTATAGGTTAGGTAACGCATAGACCGAATGCACTTTTACGAAGCTAAAGAAACATTATTTTATTTAATTTTTAATACAAATACATTAATGTGAAAGCTATTTTTCGATTACTGATTTATTTATCACTTCACCTTTCGCGTTCACTGTGTTTCTTTGAAGAATTCCACCCAGTCGACATGTTGCCACGACTCTCAGCTGTACCATATTGAACGCTCCTTTCAAATTTCCGGATTTGTCTTCACTAAATATGATTTAAAATACAAACAATTTGTAATTTTTCTATATAAAGTAAACGAGCTACAGCATCTACTAGATGACTATCTTCACTCGATAAAGCAAAAGTAAAAGTTCTAAAAAAATCCGAGAAATATAAATTATAGGCGATTAACTTACGTACTGAAAGTGCAGCTATATAAAAGTGAAACATTTTTATTTATAAGAGTTTTGTATACGTGTATCGCAAAAGTATCAACTTTTAAATAAAAAAAAAAATAAGATATATCGTTATATAAATAAAAAAAATATAAACCACGGGCTCGTCCGGGATTTGAACCCGGGACCTCTCGCACCCGAAGCGAGAATCATACCCCTAGACCAACGAGCCATATGATCGTTGCTTTCACAGAGTTCCCTGAACTGTCTTCCGTACGTTTATGTAATATGAATAATTCATTATTTTGTGTATATCGATAACATATCATCAAGCTATAGATAATTAATAATATTTCATCAATGTGTTGCATATAAACATGAAAAAAGTAGGAAATTAAAATACGCTGCTTAAAATCTTGTATTTAGGCCCGATTGCACCAACGTGATTTCGATTTTAAGTGAAACTTAAAACTGTTTCTATCTCTGTCTCTCTTTCGACTTCAAAACGAGATAGAGTTTCAAGTCTCGCTTAAAATCAAAGTTAGTGCAACCGGGCCTTAATCTAATAAATATTAAAACTTTGCAAAAGCAAAGATTACAACCAAGATAAGTTTAACAAAATATTAGGTTTATGACAAAGACATATGTGAAAATTAATAACAATTTCATTCATACATTTATTAATTGTCCTAAATAAATTAAACACACAAATTACATAAGTACAGTATACCTAATAAACTTTTAAGATAAATCTAAAATATGTATATGCGTGTGTTTGTTTGGATCGTATTTATAATATACAGTACATATGACAATAAACAATAAATCTTATCTATAAATTTAATATACAAAATGTAACATATAAATTACAATTTTCTGATGTCTTGAACTAGATTACAAAATATGGATTAAAATAAGATTAAATATAAATAATTAAAATAATAAACATTATATCTTAATTTATAAACGCATATGTATAAATGTTATGGAAATATTCTACAATAACCCGGGCAAGATTTTTTTTTATTAGCATTTCTTGATGTATAACTAGAATTACAATTTAATTTTATTCTTTCAGCCAATGACATGCAAAAAACTTTTGTCTTAAATCTTTAACTGTAATTGTATATCCTCAATTCTTTGAAACACACATAATTTCATTTTATTAAACCGTCAAAAAATGCATATGGAGATTTATTTCTTCCTACACATTTTTAATTTACTAAAAGAATTACTAACTACTTATTATATTTAAGCACTTCTTTTAATTATAAACCTTAATCCTTTCCCTACTGTTAATAACCTAGAGCAACATTCTCTTTGGCAATATTCTCTTTTTCAAATATGAATATATTTGTATATATACATATATATTTGTATCCTCGCTAACTATTTTAGTAATCAAAATACCAATTACAAAAATTGTACCATCATGTAAAGTATTGGTATTTTATCCAAATTCGTAGTCATGAGGCACATGGTATTTGTTTACTTATTATCTTTAAATAATACTTGATAAATAAAATGGCATTTTTCATATTATACATAGTAGTCATCATTAAGTTAGTATGCCTTATTAGCACAAAGATACCAAGTTATTGCATCGACTTTTTTAAATTTAGATAAAAACATTATGTGATTGGACAAATATTAGGTTGTCCGGCAAGTTAAAAGTCGTTCTTTTTTAAACTTTAGATTTTAATTTTCATGTTCCCATAAATTTATCATACTGATATTAATAAACTACTGACATTGACAGAAATTTGATTCAATTGATTTCATCAAATATTGTAAATTATAACAAATGTAAAATTTGAATACAAAAAGACAATTATTTTCTAAATAACTTAATAGTTTCATAAAATTAAGTTAATAATTATGCTACATACTGGTTACACACAATGGGTGAATATGCACGTAAACATCTATAACATGAAATATAATGAAAAAATAAAGAATTAATTAACATACAAAATATGTTCTAATCCAGTAAGGAGAGGATTACAGCGTAAATTTCTAGAATCACAGTAGATGTATTAAATACTTTTCTATCAATTCGTAGGTAAAGTGACAAATTTCAAATGTTATATGCCAAAGTTAAATTTATATGATTATGAAAAACTACCACAGAAATGGAAAGAACACAGTATATTAACATGGTGATAGGCACACCAGTAATTGGCAAAATGCTCTCAAAGTCTTCCATTTCTGGCCTAATGATATAGTGATTTGTTATTATCCATTGGTGACTCACATTTCCATGTGAATCTTTGATTGGATATCTTAATAGCTTATAATATATCATACATTACTATACTAGGCGCACACTATAACCACGTTTAAAAACGCTTAGAACAACATTCTAGTGCAATGAGAAATACGATGAAAGGACAACAATTAACATATGTAAAAACAAAGGCCAGAGCAAATGTTACCAGTTGAGGCCAAATCTTTCTCACTTGCATGTATCATCGTACGTTATATTAAATTTTATTCGAAAACGAATCTTGGTGTTAGGTTACCAGCCCATTGCAGAAGGAACACGAGAACCTACTGTAAAATCTTTATATTGAGAAAAGACACATATCTGAAAAAGTTTATCATATTAGAAAGTTTATCATGTTAAATTAATTTTTTTTTTTTAATTAAACTATCATGACAAACCTTATCTTTTAGTCGTTGACAAAGTTGTAGGGCAATAGTAAGCAATACTAGAGCGTCGTTCAGCCATGGTACGCTGCATTCTGCTTGTTGGGTTTCATACTTAACACTGCCATGAGCATTTTCTAACTGATAAACAGCTAAAACTAGTTTGTAGCTTTGAATGTAAAAGCTAATGGCCAAATTCTCTGGAAGGTTTGGATTGAGAGATTTCTGTGAACAAAACAAAATTTAGTGTTACTTGCTATTGATAGTAGAAAGGTAAATTAATACGTTTACAATAAGACATACCATATTCCGACTTTTAATGAGATCATCAATTGTCTTCTTCCTAGGGACAATCAAGCTGGTTCTGCTCCTCTGAAGGCAGCCCAAAATATTACCTAGCACATGCATGACTTCATCCGATGTTTTAAAAAGATAATGTCTGTCTACATTGTCTATATGAGCAATGCCTTGCTGTAAATGATTAGCAGCATCTTGAATTTGTTGTAACTTCCATGGATGCTCACTTTGAATACTTGTCCTCATATTGACATTCTGTTGTCGTTGCACCTTAAAATTCACTTCCTACAAGCAAAATAAAAAAATTTATCTCAATGAAGCAATAAAGCTACAAGTTATAACTTTAATAACAACTATTGATTCTAAGTACAAATACAATCTTGATAGAACATTAAAGACACTTTACCGCATTTGTGATACTGTCGCCTGTCAGAACAGCAACGCACTTTACTTGATCATGTGGGGCTGCGAAAACAAATCTATCAGTTTTATTATGCTGATCGTTACCGAAGAGAGTCAGCGGGAAGCGTTGAGCACATTCCTTAAAATAAATATGCAAGATTAATATACATGAACAATGTGTCGACTACTGATATACTATCTAGACGTATAATATTACATGATTTACGAGTGGAATTAAATCAGAATAAATTAAAAAAAATAATGCTAGATGTCATACACAGAATACATTTATACAGAACTTATCTGATTATTCACATACCATCAAAATATTCCTGAGCTGCGACAACGATGAGTGCACTTCTTCGTGGAGCACCCACTCGAACTCCATTTGCTGAAAGCAAAATCATCGGGATATTATCGATTCAGTCGGGAGTCAGGACGTTCACGTTATCTATGCGGAGCGTACTATTTCGGGGGAAATGTCAAACGGCATAACCTCAAAAACGCTCTCTGCGTACCGACAAAATGAGTAAGCGTGAAATAATTTAACGCAGCGCAAGAACCTCGCTATCTGATGACTAGGGACCGAATGTCTAAGACGATTAGATAAACGCTAAGTAAAGGTAAATAGCTTACGAGATTGTGTGCCTCCTCCTTCTCGCAGTCCGCCATTTTTCAACTGGCGCTTCGCGCGGCCGTGTCTCCACCTGTCCTTCCTCGCGCACACCACCTTCAGCACCCAACTTCATGCATATGTGATTAATGAATTTTGCGTCTGTGTGTGTGTTGTGTGTGTAGGAATATTTATGGGTCCGTTATGAATGTATGCGTATGTATGAGTGTATGTGTGTTTACACTGGTGAGATGGTGACACTGTATTTAATATGTACGTGCAACGGAATGTTATGTATGTATATACAATATTTTAGGAAGCATCCCGTTTATCGCCGAAGAATCAGCGCAGAACTGAGTATTCTGCAATAGCATTCCGTAACGTCAAGTTATCAAGTATATCGTCGAGCCTCTCAGTATCGATTGCACGAGTATCGTGAAGTATCATCGATCCCCTCTTATAGGCGCGAAGGAGAACAGATTAAAAAAATGAATTATTTTGCTTCGTCATTCCCAGCCTGAACACTAAGTCTGAAGTCTAAACACCGAGTAGAGAGTGAGTTTTTTCTTATGTGAATTACGCAGCCAGTAATCGCGAGCGGTGTCATTACCAGCGATAATTGACTCTCGTACAGTTCATTTCACTCAGTTCGTTTGTCTCTGTGCCTGTCGCAATAAAAACGACTCGGTATCTTTGGAGTTAAATGGAAAAACTCGTTGCTTGCGTGGGTTTTGTCAATTCTCGTCAGGTGTTTTTCATAACTAGAGCCAATAATAGATCGCTGTAATGTTATTGATAATAATACATTTTAAAACACCGATTGGAAAATTTACAGAAATCAAATTCAAATCTACAGAAATCAAATTCAATTGAATGCATTCAATTTGATTTCTGTGCTCAACTTTTTTATCTACGAATTTAGCAATTGTTGACCAATTGTTGAGACTAAAGTAATATCTTGTTATATTTGTTGTAGTATTGTCGTCTGCGTCGTAAAGCATAACTTCGTTGAGACCTGTTGCATCCGCATTGATCGTAAGTACGTAGTCGCTAAATTTATAAAAAAAAAAAAAAAGCGTACCGTTATGTTTTTCCAATTGAGGTCAAAGGTCGTTCTAATATATCATCTGAGAACCTTTAGGCAGATCGATTTAAATAGCTTGAGACACCATTTAGAAATTAACTTGAATTTAAAAAAAAATGTGCATGTTTAAAAAAATATTATAGTTGAGTTTGTTGTAAGCGAATCTCACTGTTTATTAAAGCCGATAGAAATTGATAATCCGCTTATTGATTTGATTTTTTTCTTGTTATTAATTTTCTTGATCAGCTCATAATTCAGTTGACACTCTGATCCGTATTCAGAACGCGTTTTTATTTCAGAGCGCGCTTTTATCTCTGAAATTCTATATTCTATAATATGCGTAAAGCCGTAATCACATTACAAACTCCCGATTCTGACTCCCGACTCAGAGTCGATCGAATAGAGTGATTTCTATTCTCGAGTCGGCAGTCAGAGTCGGCTGCTGCCTTGCTGTGATTGGTTGAATTATAATCTGAAGTCCGAGGTAGTCGGGTCAGAGTCGAGAGCCTGTAGTGTGATTACGGCTTTAGAACTACTGACTCATTGTAGAATCAGCATAATATGCATATAGTCTTGTATTAAAACTACATCTGTTTTCTCTATAATAATTTTTGGCGATTTTTTATTTTTTTTTACCAAAATTTTATTAAAAAAGTTTTTCCCTTATTTTTATTTAAAATTTTATTTTTATTAATAAAGATTTTAAGCTAATAACTATTTAGTAATGTAATAAAAATGTTGAAAAGTTATTTTTCCATATTTTTTTGAAAGTTTAGAACTGTAAAAAAATTTGTTAAATAAAAAGGACCCAAATTACTGACAGACAGGGTTAAAATGAGTGTGAAAATAACGCTTTAGAAGTTTTATCTAACGGTAAGTTTCCTTTATTTTTCTTTTAATTTTTATTATTTCTTAGAATTTTTTCTGAATCATGACTTTGAGGTTGTATTACGATTTACTCTCGCAACCTTCGAGAGCATTATATATACTTCTCAAAACATGGAACATACCATTCGAAAAGAAGATTATAAATCTGAAGAATCTCGAACAATATACTCCAGAATTTGAACGGATCAATCCGTACAAGAAAGTCCCTATTATAGAGCACGATGGTTTCTATCTTTTTGAAAGGTATTATTTTTTTCACAGAGAATAATATAGAATTATAAATAAAATATCTTTATTAAATTGTCTTAACAGCCTTTAATTATTTAGTGTTGGGATTTCGCGATATATATGCCGAGAATTTAAAGTAGACGATCATTGGTATCCATCCGATTCGAAGAAACAGGCGAAAGTCGATGAATATCTAGAGTGGCAACATCTCAACACCAGACTTCATTGTTCATCGTACTTTTTAGCGAAAGTAAATGTTTTCTTTGCCTCAAAAATGTATTCTTTTACACGCTGGATATTAACATATTTTTTTAAAAATAGTTTCTTAATCCTGTTATGCGAGGTAAACCATCAAAACCGGAAAAAGTAGCCGAATTAGAAAATCGTATGAACGATTGCCTTGACATTATTGAGAACGTGTGGCTAAAAGATAAACCGTTTCTAACAGGAAACACGATTAGCGTGGCTGATATATTCTGTGCTTGTGAATTGGAACAACCGCGTAAGCTATATAAATCTTTCGATTTCAGGCAGTATATGATATGCACTGTGATTAGAATTTGAATAATCAGGATTTCTTTTGTGGTGTAGGAATGGCCGGTTATGATCCGAAAAAAGGGAGACCACGTCTGACTGCCTGGATGGAGAAAGTTGTCACGGAAACGAGTCCTCACTATCAAGAGGCTCACAAATTCTTACATCAAATAGCTGCACAACAACCACAGCAAAGCTTTACTTTTAAACTTTAGTTATATGTATATACAAATACTATCTCTATGATGTTTATAAATATATTTACATAAACATGAGTAATCTGTTCTAATTGATAGATGGTAATATCTAAAAATCTATGTTGAATTTTATTTTGATACCGTTGATATTTCTTGAAGAAATATTTATATTTTTGTACGTATTATAAGAAAACTAATATTTATGTTGTTTGTTTTCCATCAATTTATTTGCCATTTATTCATTTTGATAAAACTGCGGTGCTGCGGTTTCTTTACAAATTGTTATAAAAGTATAAAAAAATTGATTATATAATATAACAATTAAGAAGCATTAGAACAAATGTATGTATACAGTAAGCGTTATTTCTTACAGATTTTTAAGTACATATATTCATAAAAATGATCATGTATTATCAGTTGTTTTTAGACACACATTTTCCAATCATCAATAATTTAAATTATTTTTCAAGTTACTGATTTTGCGGCAAGACTCCCCATATTGGAGTAAGATATCGATGATGAGAAATTATTTCATGTTATAAATGTAAAAAATTTATATTGAAAGAAAAAGGACTCAATATTAAAAATGAAGCATACAATAAAATCGGCAAATAGAAGTATTACCACGCGATATTTCATACACAAAATTTCATATATAAAACATCCGATTTTACTTTTTTACTTAAATATAAAATATGTATGAAACCTATGTATAATAAAGTATTGCATTGTATTCTAAATCTGCCGACTTCACTGTATAAATTTTACTTTCAAAATTCATATAATTTCCCATTTCTGATACTATAATCCAATATAATTGCAGTGAAGAACCAGGACGAGTCTTAATAGAACAAGATTGCAGTCAAATGCAATTATTATGATTTATATTATAACGACTTATGACTGTAAGGTACATGAGAGGTAGCACGTTCGTAACATCTGTTACATTACAACATACAATATATCGATGAGCTTATACTTTTCATATTATAACTATTGCACAATACATACGCCATTTACCGCACAATAGTAGATAAGATATAATGCGAGGTGCGCTGAACTCTTTGTATCTTGCAGTTTATAATTTACAAAGCAGAACATCAGACTGTGAACAAAGTACCATAAAATTACAGTAAGCGTTTATCTTACGACCAGGCACACTTTATCACATTCGTGGTGTAAATCCGATACGACTACAGAACTCGCATTCGTTATAATTTATAATACATTGACTAGAGATACATAAATTATCGGGTGAAAATATATGAATATCAAAACAATATTTTGTACGTCGTTCATTTTCCTTGGTTTCTGTTTTAGTTATTGAACAAACTCGTTAATATTTTTACAGACATTAATTTGTTTATCGATCACTTTATAGTTTCTATAATCATTTTCAAACAAGTTTTTTTAACTTAGGCATCCTCTTAGGACATTTCTCTACATGGATACTCCAGTGACGAGTTTGGCATCTTTCGTCACAGTAGAAGGCTGTCTCACAGCCTAGGCACTTGAACATGGATCCGGTGAGGCCACAGTTAGAGCACTCTAGATTGCTCGTGGTTTCCAGAGTACGATTCACCTTACCTAGATGCGGTGTTTCGCAGTTACGTTTCTCTTTCCGCATGGGTTCCTTGGCGGCCAACGCGTTACTAGATGCTAATATTGTAGCGGATTTGTATGTTGACTTGGGCACCGAGGATGCTACTGTCGGCTCCTGCGCGTTGTCGTCATAAATCGCTGTAGACGATTGAGAATAAGTATCATCCGCTTTCACATAAGGTAATCTATCCAGTATTAAATTTTGCAATTGACGGTAACCGCCATTATTCAATCGTGAGTCTACATTGACCCCACCGACTGGTTGCACTTGTTCTTGTGGTAAACGTTCGCGATTTGCCACTCTGTTCGCCATCAACTGCGAAGATTCATTATCCATGACACCGCCGATTCCTCCAGATACTATTTCTGTGTCAGCTCTTCCGTAGGATGATAGCGTACCACGCTGTCGACCAAAGGAAGCTGCCGCGACCACCGCAGCAGCTGCTGCTGCAGCAACGACATCCGGGATCATCCTATTCCTGCCGCATTGGCCATTGCTCGCGGGGTAGCCAGCCAAGGAAGTGCGTGCCAAAGATTGCTGCGCGGAGGCTGCTAATGGTGGAGGTGGCGGTAATAGCAGGGGTGGTAGACAAGTCGACGTAGTACCGTTTTGCGTAGCAGCGGTCGCCGTCCTCAAACGGTCGTAGTCCAAGCCGGCAGCAGCGGCAGCTGCCGGCTGATAACCGCCCGCGGATAAAGTTCCAGAATATTTGAGGAGATCTGCGGTAAAGTGACGAGACGCTGCATCTTGCAGATGAGTAGGATAACGTTTGTCGAGATGCTGCATCTGACGGAGCGAAGCTGCATGCGAATCTTGCAAAGGACCTAACTGGTAGCCGCTTATCGGCGGTGCGGTAGCGTGCAGACGTGAATGACAGGGATAATCGCCGTAAGGACATACCGCTGAGTGATAGCCAAAAGCCGCACCGTAAGGATCGATCTGCAACGGTAAACTAGCTAAATGATTGAATAATATGAGGTGACTATATATACGTGAATTAGAGACTTATGGTAAAGCGATGAAATAAAATCTGTGTAAAGTAGATGTGTTTCGTTTATACATTGATCAATCCATTGAGTCTTATTACCGCATAATTTGGTGGATAGAACTGGGTAACTGAGATAGGTGGACAGATGCTCGGTCTCACTGGAGGTATGACCGATGATGCGTACAATTGTTGCTGACGTTGCTGATGACGCTGCCACCTTTCTGTATTCCATTGTGGCGCTACGTTGACTATATTGTTTCGAGTCGTATTTGGTGCATTTGAGCGAATTTTTTGCGCCTCCAGTCCAGGAACCTGTATGCGGAGGCATAATAAAAAATTCATTAATAGAAAATGATTCGAAATGATTCATCGAATGAACAATTGTTGGTGGAAATATAAACTTACGCGAGCGACCTCCGCCGTTGATGCGGTTGGTAAGCTTATTCCAGATTGTAATTTAGATTTCGATTTAGCTTGTTTCTTCGACATTCGAGCTACCCAATTGCCCAGAGTGGGAAATTGCTCTGTCATAATGCGATTTCCGTCATTTCGCTGATTGGTATTCTCCTGAGTGGTTCTGTTGCAGCTATTAGGCAGACTAATACATCGTTTATGTGAAAAATCGATATCAAATTCAATATATTATATATATATCAAACTTATGTATTATGTAACATGTATATTATACTTACACGATACATTGTTGATTTGAGCTGCTAACAGTAGATCTAGGTTGAGCAAAACTCAAGGGTATTGGTGGATCCAAGGCAGAAGATTGACTCATGCTTGATGTTACCTAAAATCACGCAAAATACATTTTGACTATTGAATATACATTTTGACTCATCAGATCAAAATTATTTTTTGTAAGTGTTCAAGTCTGTTACTAATAAAAAGAAATTAAATAAAATACACAATAGTTAATAATTAATAATAGCACAGCATATACAAGACAATTATTGAATAATGACATATAATAATTTGTAAGTTTAACAAGAAAAAATATATGAGGTACGGTGAGAAAAGTTGGCAAAAATTAATATAGATCTTATAAATTTTGTATATTAATTGTACCACACAATTTTCCAAAGAAATGTAGATGTGCAATTTTATGAATTTCAATATTTTACGGTAATTTAATTGCGTGTTATGACCATTATTAAAATCTAAAATATTTTACAGATTACCTTCTGCACGTCCCTCGAATTTTGGATGACGTCTGCGAAGACGACATTCTCGCGCGCGACAGACGAGCCGTAATAATTCGACTGTAGTTGCAAGATATTAGTCACATTGGCGGTTGGTACTTGTCTGACCATCTCTTCCTGTGCAGCTGTAAATGTGCTCGTTACTACTTTATTCTTGACGTTGATCCTCTCTTCCGAGTAAGTTCCATATTCCTTAGTAGTTTTCTTAGTATCCTCCATGATCGATGGACTAGACGGTAAAGCTTCATTCGATTTCTGTTCCAGCTCCTGTTTCTCGCAAGTGACTTGTTTGTTTTCGTCCGTTTCCGAAACCTGTGTTATTTCGTCGAGATGACGTTGAGCGACAGGTCTTTCTTTCGTGTCTCTCATATCGCTTGCATCTATCTCGAGGTCCATTGTTGGACTCAGAAAGTTGTCCGAAGGTATCGTCGGTGTTGTTTGTCGATGTTCCTCAATGTCGCCAAACGTTTTAGTGTCCTCTGGAATTTTTTCCTCGATTTCTGAATTCTTCATTTTCGACAAAGGTTCTTCTTCGTTCCACTCCACTGTGCTGTTTCTCGGATCTTCAAATTCAGTCGATGAAACCGGAGATATAGCTAGCGTTGTTACGTCGTCGCGTATTATTTGATTCGTATCGTTCACCTTGACTTCTTTCTCGATTGGCGAGCTCGGTGAGCTATCACCTTTATGCCAGCTTTTGGTGACGACTAGATTTTGCTTCAGACATTCGAGAGTAGTCGGTTGGATTGCTATGTAAACTCTGGGTAGTATCGGCGGACTGTCACTCACCGCATCGGGCGATTTACCTTTTTCATAGTCGATGGGAGAACGCGGCGACAATTGCGGTGGTTCCGGTGAAGGAGACGGAGAAACGCTGCTTCTGGATATCCCATTCATCTTTTCAACACAAATATTAATTAGTAGTTATGATATGAAATAAACGACGAAATCGATTTTTTTACGACATACATTTCCATCTATCGAACGATTTATAATCTAAGGACGGATCGTCTTCTTAGCAAGGATATAAGGAGGATGCCAAAAAGGGACCGATTTCTGTCTAAAAAGATATAACTAGTAAAAGCAATAGTATTTTTTTTATAGATTTTGCCTTCTTGAATACGGTAAAATTATTTAAATTTGTAGCGTTTAGGAAATACTTCGAAAATTGAGCACATTATATATTTATCCAAATTTCAGTAGTCTTGCTTTAATTTTCGAAATATTTTCCAAACGTCAACTTTTTAATAACTTTATTATTATTATATATTATATTAAAGGAGTCAAAGTCTACAAAAAATACTATTCCTTTCTTTACACCCTTTAGGCAAAAATCGGTCCTTTTTTAACATCATCCTTTATTTTACTCTGAGAAGACCGTTTTATCCAATTGTGTCATTCCACTTACAAAACTTACCTGCTCGACATCGCTGTCGACAGCAGTTTTCTCAGCTGACGCGCGCTCATTCAACTCGTTCTCATAGTCAAGATCGACGATGATGTCGTCGGTTGTCGGCGGAATGGAGGCGGACAACTTGCACAGCAGCTTCGAGATGTTCTCGATTTGCTTCTCGTAGCAATTCATCATCTGCCGCAGCCGGGTGTTGCGCTGCGGGCTCGTGTCGGCGGCGTTATTGCACGCTGTCATCTCCCGCGAGAGCTCCAGTGCCTTACCGCGAAGTTCCCGCAATTTCTGGCGCAACCGATTGCGACGGTACTTGATCTTGTAGCCGTCGCTCTTTGGCGAAGATCGCCTACTCCTGTCCCGCGTGTTGTCCGACGATTCGAACTCGTTCTCCGAGGCTTCGCTGCTCCAGAAAGAGGTAGGAGAGTATCCGGACGGGGATTCCGGACGTGGCGTGGCGCCGGTGACAATACGATAGTTGGACTCGCTTCCCATCCCGGCATTCACCTCGATATTACGTCGATATTCGTTAATGGTGCTCGCTGAGGATAAAAACAAATAATAACAATGTAAAGAAACCTTCCTTTAGAGCGTTAAGTGAAATATTTTTCTATTCATTTGGAATGTGTGTGAAAAATTCGTCAATTACCTTGTGGTAGAGGAATTTCTTTGTAAAAAAAATTTCGATAAACAATCTAAATTAAATATGAACAAATTTATTCGTTAGAAATTTACTCTTTAGAAATGTTCACTAAACATTGAATACATTATAAGTATCGTACCTTCACGTACAATCTTCTTCAGTCTTAAAGGCGGTACGACTTTGTTGCAGATTTCCTTCTTTTCTGTCTCCGGCTCCGTCGTCGACACCTCCACCGGTGACGAATATCTTTTGTCGGGTATCCCAGGACGAGAATCCCATAGCCTCACTACTACATGTTGATGCAATTTTCTTTCCCCTTTATCGGCCAAATTACCGCAAGAAGTTCTGGAGTACTCTTTTAAAATATTTTTGACGTGTTCGTCACGTACATGGCCGGTGTCGACTTCGTGGGATTTTCTCTGCTTCTTCACATCCTTGGTAATTTCTTTCTCGTACTCCTTGCCCCGATCTTCGCTGTTTTTTCTTTTAATACTGTTGACCTCTTTCGTAATCTATAACGTGCGAATTATCGCCAATAAAATTAACAATGTCACATAATTAAAACATATTGTGCTGATATAGTTAATTTTAATTTCCAATTTTTCGATCCGCAGGCAATGCTTGCTTTAGATTAGTTAAATTTAACTGTACATAATGTAGAAAACAATAAAACTATAGCGACAAATTAATATTATTAAGATTACCCTCCAGTAACTTTTAATCCACATCAATTTTACATGTTAAAATCTTTCTCATACGAAAAAGTCTCGGGTTTGTCAAAAGTATAGTGTACTTAAAAATAATCGTGTTCTTTTTGAAAAAGAATAAAAAATCCCAATGCTACCTGCATGACATTAGTCATGTCTGGAAGAATGTAGTCCGAGCGATCAATGAACTCGCTCGTAAGCATCATTCCGTTTCCGTTCCCATCCTGTTGCCCGAAAGAAAGTTCGTTCAACTTGCTCGTCAACGAGCTGCTCGGAGATGCGTTTGATTGCAACTCGATCACGTCCAGGCTCGAGGATTTCGGCAGCTTGAGAATTGGCGAACGTAGCGTTTTCCGCAACGTTACTATTGACGCTGATCTCGTCGGTGCCGGCGGCGCTGGTCGAATCGGCAGGGAACGATTAGGCTGTACAGGGATCACGCAAGGACCACGATCCCTTAAGGCAGTCGCCAAACTGCTGCCCGTACCACCGCGTTGCTGCAATCTGCTGGAACTGTCTGCTATCATGATGCGAGGTTCTGGAAAAGAGCGGAATTTATAGTCAGATACATCACATAGGCACGACAAAGAGACACATGACGACCTACTCTCAAAATATTCGAAATTGCATAAAAAATTTTCATTTGATCACTCATTTTAATCAAAGTACCATCAGTTTTTCCTGTTACACAAATTGACGAGTATAGAATTTTCTAAAAAAAAATAAAACATTGTTCGAAATCTTTTCTTAAAAATAGTCTTTTGTTTTCGATGTTAATTTATTAATTGTACTTTTAGAAAAGCTACTTATTCTAATAATATTAATAAAATTCACAGCATACCATCTTCTTAAAAGCTATTTCTGAGCGAATAAAGTCAAGACGACAAATATAAATGGATTTGGACGAAATTTTAATTTATTTTTATTTAGTTTAATTTAATTTAGTTTTTATAACATTTTAATTTTCAAGTTAAATGTGCTTTTAATAAATCCATAAAATTTTGATATAAATTTTATATTATATACTAAAATATTTCTTCAGATTCCGTATTCCTTGGAGAGTGGCCGTAAATGAGAGGAAATCACAAAAATTCTCTTTATTCTTGCACACAATCAAATGTTAAAAGCTGTACGTTGAAGAAATAATAAAGATTGAATCGGTTTATTCATATTTATACTAATTGATTTTCCTGAAGATAAGGTAATTATATTTCATGCGATTATTTCTACACATAGCGTATATTGCGGCAATATATTATCTACACTTGAACACATATTCGATATCGCAACTATAGATCGACGACGTTATTTAGATAATATATCGCTGTTCATTATCACGTTCTCACCCGACATCTCCGAGCTTTCTTCAGCTTTGGTGAATCGTTTTAGGATTGTCTGTTTCCAGGTAGTTTGCTTAGGGGTTGCTTGCTCCTCGCTGGTTAGATCCACGAGAATTGGTGTTACTTTATGCTCCATCGAGGCGACTGTACTCGACGTGGAGGCCGTCTCTGCACCGCTGATGTCACTATCATAATAATCCAGATGTTCCGTCAGTTCTTCGTCTTGGTCACTCATCAGATCCTCTTTAGTCTTGCGTATCTTCGCGGCAGTGGCGACGCTACCCTGCTCCTGCAGCAGTTGACATTCCACGCAATCCTTGCACGTGGTGCACACGTCGATCTCGTCCTCTTCCAGCTCCGTCGAGCTGGAAATCCGTGGACAAGCCGTCCTTTCTTCATTGCTGCAGTCACTGTTCTCGAAGAGTTCGGCGATATCGCAGGCAATGACATTGGAATCGTTCTCGTCGATAATCGTGGAACATTCACCAAATCGGGACAGTCTCTTCTCGATATCATTGGACTCGTCGCGCGTTTTGCTGCAGAATATCGTGGACCAATTGTCTCTAGGTGCGAGCGTCCGATTGGACTTAACTTTCTTCCTCTTCTGCGACTTTAGCGCGACGGCCAAGTGTTGATTATGCGATTGCATCTTTCTTATGCTCGAGTAACGTGGGACTCGAGGATTTCTTCGAAAGTTCGATAAATGTTTCGCCAGAACATTTCGTGTCCTAGTCGCATTTAAAATTATTCAGATGAACGGCATTCTCACTCCCTAGCATTCGCGAGACACGCACTATAGCAATAATTGTGGTTGTTGAAAGAAGGGCAATTAAGTATTAAAGAACCCAACAGTATACTTTAACAGTTTTGGTCGATGAAGTTGAACAAAGTCTCGCGATGCAAATAATATATAGGGGGGGAGCGAAGAGACGCTCGCGCTCGCGAAAGGGAAAGCAATAATTGCGAAGCTTCGTGTGCGCTACATGTCAACCGTTCTGAATGGTGTTTTTTTTCTATTTTTTTTTTGTCAGAAGTCTCCTATCGATTCCCATCGATCGTTTCTCGTACGCATTGTGCATCGAGTGTCTTTCACTCTGCATTTATGGTAACAGAATACACGAAAAAGGGAGAAATTACGCTTCGCACGCGATGCACGCCTCCCCTGCCCTACCTCCTCTTTCTGTTATCGGACGCAAAATATACGCATTTCTTTCCTTTTTCTTGCACGGAAATTCACGGTCGAAGAAGTTGAAAGCGAACCCCTCATGGCAATCGAAAATCGAAAAAAAAAAAGGTTTACTGAAAACTTCCTTTGCTGCAATATGCATACATGCATGTGCGTGAGATGTAATTTACCATACATTTAACTTAACATTGCGAATATAATTATTGAATGATGCGATAATCAACATTTATGCGAAATGACTAGTAGTGCGAGCTATAAAAATAGAAACAAACTCATAGTTTAGATTACGAAATTGATAATATTTTTTGCACTTATTTGTAAAACCTTCAACAATCTATTTTTACAGTCACTTAGCTATTATATATTAGTTACAAAATAACTCGTAAGCGATTCTTTATTTGTTAATTAAATAATTTAAACTAAAAATAAAAAAGTATAAGCAATATTCTTCTTAATTTTTACTATATTTACTTTTAATTTATAAGAGTTGCATCCCATGTTATTATATAGTATATATAATTAATAATTATATTTATTGTGTGTGTGTGTGTGAATAACATTACTTAATGATTTTATATAATGAATATTATAACATATTTTAAACATATTTCCATTTTTGCAAACAATATTTAAACAAATAATGTTTTTCTTTATGTTTGTTTATACATACATATTTAGTCTTTATATATTATATATATATGTTATTTTTTTCAGGTAAAAAATAGGATAGAATTTGTCACTGAATTACAAAAGAAAATATTTAACGTATTACCAGTCAAGAAACTTTGTTCCTATTTATCGAGGTCACGCACTCAATTTGATAATGAAAGAAGTACGGATGTGCAAATTACCTTTGCAAATTATCTTTGGCGACGTTAAATAATTATAGTACAATTGTGCAAAATTATGACGATATCAAAATCTACACAGATAAGGTATTACATTTAATTTGCTGTTACTAAGATATCTTAAGACATGTGTATTATATTATTATAATTTTTATATCTCAGATCAAAGACTCTGGCTACATAACGACGAAGCTCACGAACGCAGGCCTTACTTCTCGTTATCTTTCTATCGTAGTTACTTTCGATCGTTAGCATCTGCGAGTTAATGTATACTCTACACCGAATTACGTCACCAATATCACTGCGGCAGGAATTATGTGTCAGCTACCCACTCATCGGAGATGTCACCGATCCTATATAAGGTAAAGACCACACAACTAGCTCTTCTTTCTTTCTCTTCTGTTTCCTTTTATAGATGTTTATCTCCTTCAAGACATAATATCGCGCCTTTTTTTATCCTCTTCTCTTTTTCCATCCTCCTTCTTTTTTTTTTTATAAAAAAAACTTGGACAAATTTTCACAATTTTTAACAGTATCTCGCATTATCTAAAATCTATTCAAAGTTTTTACAGCAACAATGAACAGCTGAACTTGCTATCCTCTTCAATGTCACATGGATCCACCGAACCGCGGCGAACATCATCCTACGCGCCTTAGAGACGATGTTCGCAGTATTTCCTCACACGTGTCATACGAGCAATAAGACTGTCATGCGAAGGAGCGAGCCGGCCGGCGAAGCGATAGAGCAATATATTTTCCCCCTCTATTTAACACCACACGCGTGACTGCTGGCTTATTCTTTCGGGAGCCCTTCGATGCGACATTTCAATTGGCCGTTCAGGACGCGCATCCTCCGGCGCAGACGGAAGGACGATCGGAGAAGGGACACGCAAGTCGATCACGTTAATGTCTCCACACGCAACTATCTTTTTTCTTCAGCTCCGTCGCGCACCTACGCGACACTATATGTTCCCGAGAAATTTATTCTTCGAAGGTCACCGATCGAACCGAGAAAGTTTAGGAGTTCTCGGAACTTTGGGGGTCCAATTCCGGAAGTCTTTCTTTCACGGTCGCTGTGAAAACCATTGCGCATTGAAAACCAATACTCGACGCTTATTTTAAAACATCGTAAAGCATATTAGGTCGCATTACAGGCAACAAAGCTGCTAATGCTTTACTTATCTACAGTTTTATGCGGTTGTACGGTCGCTCAAGGATTAACGATAAGTACGTGATGACGATAAAAAATGCGGCTCTGGTACCGCAGTAAAACTTAGCGCGCGCCTTCTCTCTCTGTTTTGATTTACGTTGAAGAAATGAGCATCGACTTAAATATAATTTTATAGTCATCATTATATCATCTTAAATCGTAAACTAGATTCTGGACACTAATTCCTTCGAAATAAAAAGAAATAAATGGTATCAACGTCAAGCGAGCTGTCCTTTTTATCAGATCTGTTGTCACATATGGCTAGATCGACGAGTCTCGCAAATGCACAAAACTCGTTCGCGTTGTAACAACGGCATTTTCCAAGTTGAAGAACTCGTTCCGACGTTGTCGCTATGAAGAAAAAAATGAAATAAAATAAAATTTCTACGGCCTTTTCTAATGTAAGTCGCGGCCGCGCGGCGCGGGAAACTTTTGAGCGCCTCGTCAATACAAAAGGGGATGAATGCTTCATGCACCCCACGCTGATAATGTTAGCGTGACGCGTATAACCAGGCGGCAGAACCCTTTCGCAGAGAGAAAAGAGGCTATTTCATAATTTACCGGTCCACTTACAGACATCTTCTCTTTGTAGTTTTATGTGTTATATAAGCTCGCTTAGTTAGTGTACGTATAGTGCAACCTTGTGCTACCCCACCTGGCGTCCGAGAGAGTGTCTGGCGTCGTTTCTTTGAGTGGTACTTTCTAGCGAACGTAAAATATATTATAGTTTCCGAAGAGAGGAGAGGAAGAGATTCTCTTCGATCGCAAGCTCGTCCCCGAAGGATTACTTACGAAGGTATCCGGCGTTACGTCACACTCCATATTAATATCGTTCTTAGGACAGAGACAGACAGGCATATTAACGTATAATTAATTAGAAAACGATGTCTAAATTGTCGCGCCACGTCCGACGTTAATTAACCGATAATGAACACAATGGGCGATGATAACGAAAAAGATAACAGTCGTTTTCTTTGTTGTGACAACGACATTATACAAATGCTGCGATGCGAACGATGAATGCTATGTCTATAGATAGATCTTTACAGCAAAACGTGTGTGCCTTCGCTGCGTCGGCGATATCTATGTCCGGGTATATAAGGGTCATCGACATATTCTTCTTCGCGAATATATCGACGAAATCCGAGCAAGATCGGCCGGCTCTCGAAGAAATCGTCGGCTCGTTCTCTTCCTAGAAGCTCTACCGGTGACAATCTATCCCGTGCGCTTATAACACGTACACTTATAGAAGCGAGCTATCGATTGAAAAGTTTCACGGACCTGACAAACCGCGCGATTTATCGCGTTAATATCCATCGAATTCTTGTTGAGCGACGAAACACTATATAGAGAATAGGATAAAGACAGATAATAGATACTTCCGTAATTTGAATTATATCGATCTGTTTACGCGTAATTGCTCCTTTGATAAACAGAAAATTTGAGCTCCTATATTTCGAGAATGTGATGTAACAGATATGATTATTCATCGCGAGAACCGGATACTTTAATAAGAAAATTGACGAGACGATTTCTTTTTAACTTGTCAAGGCTGTTTACATAAAAGCTATACGGTAATACTGAATAATAATTATTGAATACATTCTAGATAAAAAAGGAATACTCACTTGATAGGTGGAATTTCAGAGCAATCCGCTTAGCTTATCATTCCTTGATGACGACGTGATTAGAACCTTTGAACGTATCCTGCCGAGAGATCTGCGTTATGTTCGCGGTGGACCTTACACGATTCCATCCAAGCATCATCAGTTCATCCGAATAACTTTCGCGTTTACGGATCGGACCACACATTGAACAATTCACTTCCAATTGAGCAAATGCATCAGATCTTCCAATCACTGAAGTACCTTTTCTTTTCAATCACTCGAAACTCAACTATATTATAATATTTGCAAATTAAAATAACAAGGTTTGACGTTTAATTTTTATAAATCACCATTGATCCTTCATTTTAGCGTTTAACTCCAAGACGATATTTCTATCTATTATATAAACGGGAAAAAAACGTGGTAGATTTATATTATCAATAACCCATCACGTCGTACTTCGAACTGTCCCGTCTGTATATAATCTGCCGTGTGTAATTTCATGTTCACGATGATGCGACGACGTCGATGTATCGCGCGCAACGGCGACGCGACAGACCGATGTGTCGGAGCCGGTATGCAGCACGCGAGTGTGATCGCCGCGTCGAGGTACAACATAGCAGCGCCACGTGGTACGCCGAGGTCGTTACCGTGGGGGCTGTCGTCGTTAGGACTCCCCCCCGGATCAACGACGACGACCTACACCCATCAACGCCGGCGAATCCTCTTTGGACTCTCTGGACACTGTGCGACTGTGACGTAATCCACATACAAAAGATGTTGCTCTAAAAATTCATT